AATATGTAATTGTTTATTCATATTTTTAAAATATTTTTACTTTTGAAATTTTTTCTCCATATTCTGTAGAGACTTAAAGTTTAACATATCAATACTTGATGGAAAATACCTGTTCCATGTTATGCCTAAGATGTTTGATATTCAGACAGACAGTGAGGTTAAACCCAACTTGCATATGTTGGAGGGTAATAATAAGCTTCTCTCCTGGAAAGTTAACTACCTATGTTTGCAGACCAAAAATTAGAGAAAAAGAAGGGCTACAAGGACAGCCAACATGTTGGCCTTAGCCTTTCAAGGTCAGTGAAGACTCAGGACATAGGAGAACCTATACTTTAACATCATATAACTCAGTCGTGTCCCAAATTTTCTGATTAAGGAGATTATGGGGCCACAGAGCAATGTGATTGATGATGTAGAATGTGCCTGAGGAGAGTCACATGGAGAAAAAACATTCTCTCAGGCTTTCACAGAGAGCAAAATGGTCAAGCAATGGCCATGACTCATCCACATGGCTGACAATGACAAAGGATCTGCAACCTGTGGTATAGGTTACAAGATAAATCTTGAGGGTACTTGACTGACCTTATCAGATACGAAAGTTATGTTCCTTGTTATATAGATCTTGCTTTATCTTGGTCTTAATAATCCAGCAGAAAAGTATAAAAACAAGGTATAAAAAGTAAAGCCATAGTAATATGCTGAGATATGAAAGGCTCAAGTCAACAACTTCTGACATTGCCAGTCCTATGGATAACCCACTACTATTATGGACTACTGGACTAGGTATGCTGAATTCACGTACCTACAATATTTAAATGGCAATGGAACATTCATCTCTAACAAAACTAAATAAAAAAGGAGATACAATGGAAGGACTGTTTTGTATTTGTATATTCAAAATAGGATAGATATACAGCTACTTTCTCTTAATTCAATGAGAAGAAAGATTTTTACTACTAGTATTTGGACAAGATATCATGTCTGCATCTTGTACTATGAATAACCACTAAGAAGATACAATATGCAATGTATTAATTATTGAAACTGTTCCTATTAATCGGTTTTGAAACTGTCTCATTGCTTTTTCTCAATAAAATTAATTAAAAAAGAAAGAAAAAATAAAGTCTCAAAGCAAAATAATAGGAGAATAACAATAGTTGATACATTGCATATTGTTATATTCAAAATAGTTATTCAGAGTATAAGACATGGCCATAAAAAATTCTCCAAACAATATTAGCACAAATCTTTCTTCTCAATGAGGTAACAAAAACTAGTATTGTAACTACCTTTTCCTTCCTTTACCATTTCTCCACCCAAGTTCCATTTCTTTTGAACAGTTTCTTCCCATTTCACAATATCTGTTGTATATTTTGGACCTTAGTTATTCTTTCAGTTTCTCATACCAAGGAGACAACATGATGTTTACAAATATGAGTCTGATTTATGTCACCTATGAGTACAGTCTCTTGTTAAATACATTTGCTTATAAAAGTCTCAAGTTTATCTTTCTTTATGGATGAGTAGTACTTCATTGTAGAAAAAGACTGCATCTTTTTCATCCATTCCTCAGTTGAGGGGCATTTGAGTTGTTTCTAAGATTTAGCTCTTATGTTGCTCTAAACATGGGTGCACATCAATTGCTGTGATATGATGTTTTTAATTCTTCAGGAAAACACCCAGGAAGAGAATAGCTGAGTCTATTGGGACCGCTAATCCTAGCTATTTGAGGACTCTTCATACTGCTTTCCACAGCGGTTGCAGCACCAACACTCTACTCCCATCAACAGTGGAGAAGGGCTCCTTTCTCCCACAGCCCCTCCAGCAGTTGTGATTGTTTGATTTCTTGGTGACAACCATTCTTTCTGTAAGATGGAATCCCAGTGTTGTTTTAATTTGTATCTCTTGAACTCTTTTTTTTTTTTTTTTTTGGCGGAACCGGGGATTGAACTCATGCCCTTATGTTTGCCAGGCAAGTGCTTATTCTACTGAGCCATCTCCCCAGCCCCTGTATCTCTTGAATAACCAATAGTTTTGAACATTTTTTCATTTATTTATTTTCCATTGGTATTTATTCATCTTAGAAGTGTATATTCCTCTCAGATGCCCAGTTCTGGACTGGGTCTTCAAATTTGGGGGTCTGATTTTTTTCAATTCTTTATAAGGTCCTACATATAAGTCCTTTGTCTATCTGAAGGACAACTGGCTAAAATTTATTCCCATTCTGTAGGTTGTCTTGTCACTCTGTTGATGATTTCTTTTGTTGTGCAAAACATTGTTAATGAGATGAGGTCCCAGGTGTTGGTGCTTTGTATTATTTCATATATGATCTGGGTTTTCTCTGTGATCTCTCTGCTTCCCCATCTTCATGAGTTTTACCAATTTTCTCTTCCAGTACATTTAGTGTCTCCATTTTAATATCTAGATCTTTGATCCATTTGGGTTTCAGTTTAGTGCATGTAGATAGACATGGTCTTTGTTTTTGTCTTTGGCATGTGGAGAGCCAGTTTTTCCAGCACCACTTATTAAAGAGGCCATCTTTCTTCCAGTGAGCATGTTTGGCCCCTTCATACAATTTCTATAATCATTGACCTGATTGGGTCCATATTCCTCTTTGTTTTCTGCTTATCCCATCAATTTTTGTTACTCTTTTTCTGCCTTCTTTTGGATCAATAG